CCCCACCCCAGTGCCTCCTTGAGAGGCTAGATAGGAGCAACGAGGATGGCTTGTTGCTGTGGTTTCTCCTTCAGTTCCCCCTCACTATTGCTCTGTGTTGAAATGGATCTTGCAAGGGACAATCTGTAGGAGAACTTCTGGATCGTAGGGTGTGTGTAGGCCCAGTGTTAGTAGCTACTGCCAGTGACTTGCTTAACATTCCCACCAGCAAGTGTTTGACAATTCCAGTTGCTGGCTCCACGTTCTTGCCAATGCTCAACAATTTTAACCATTCTGGTGAGGTATCTAATTATGGCTTTAATTAGTGTTTTCTTGATGACTGCTGATTTGAGCACATTTTGTAAGTTTATTAGCCATTTAAATGTCTTCTTTTTGAACTTCCTACAGAAGTCTTTTGCTTATTTTTCCATTGGCTTGTCTGTCTTTTTTTTTACTAATTTGTTGGAGTTCTTTATATATTGTGGACATGAGTCCTTTGCTGGATGTATGTGTTGTAAGTGACTTATCCCATACTGTGACTTGCCTTTTTACTCTTAATGGGTTTTTTTGATGACCAGAAATTCTTAATTTTAATGTAGTCCCATTTATTTTTTCTTCCTTTTATATTTAGTGCTTTTGTGTCATATTTAAGAAGATTTCCCCTGCCTATCCTAGAGTCATGAAGATATTATCCTATTTTTTTCCTCCAAATCTTTATTGTTTTGTCTTTTACATTTAGCTCTGTGATCAACCTGGAAGTGATTTTTATATGTGGCAGGAGGTAGGATCAGGACCCATTTACTTTTACAGGGCAGCCAGTTGACCCATCACTGTGTACTGAGCACACGTTCCTTCCCCTCTGTACCGAAGTGTCTACTTTGTCAAAAATGAGTGGCCGTGTATGTGTGAGCCCACTTTGGGACGCTTGTCTCTCAAGTCTTTATCACACTGTTTTTCTTATTATAGTTTTATAGTAAGTCTTGATATATAGTAGTATAAGTCCTCCAATTTTTAATTTTTCTTCTTCTAGATTATATTTAGATATTTCTGGCCTTTTGTATTTTCACATAAATTATAGAATCAGCTTGTCAATTTCCACACAAAACTTCCACATATTTTGTTTGGATTACATTGAAACTTGAGAATTCTTTGTGGAAAGGTTTTTAATTACAATTCAATTTTTAAAATAGATATGAGCCTTTTCAAATTTTCTATTTCTTGTCAGTTTTAGTAAGTTGTATTTTTCATCAAAAAAAATTTTTTTTCTATAAAGATGACTGGTAAGGGGATCTTAACCGTTGACTTGGTGTTGTCAGCACCATGCTCTCCCGAGTGAGCCGTGGGCCAGCCCCATCAACTTGTTTTTTAATTTATTCATTTCACCTAGAGTTTTACATATTGGCATAAATTGTTTATAAGGATAATGTCCTTTTTTTTTCTTTTTAGGAATTAGGTTTTTATCTGAGTTATTAAGGAGTTTGAGTAGGAGAATGATAGAATGAAATTTCTGTGTCTTTAATTTTGTTGATGGAAGTGCTGGAGAGGAGAGGAGAGAGGATTTCTCGATACTGGGGAAGGAGGGTGCGTGTGTGGAGCTACAACGAAGATGCGGGGGTCTGGCCGCAGGTTGTACCGCCTCAGCCTTTCTGCTCCTAACGTGTCTCTTTTCCGAGTTCTTCTCTGATGCCCCAGTACCGTTTGAGTTTTGATTTGTCTATAGGTGACTTGATTTGTTCTGTTGAAAAACATAATACTTTTTCTTTTTTCTTTTGCTGACTCTTTCCTGGCTCTTGCTCCAGATTATTTAAGTACTTCCTTTAAAAAAATATATTATTTGTGAAGGGGGCCTGAAAGGAGGGGTGTACAGGAGAAAAAATGATCAAATCTGTGGAGATTTTCACTACTTTGAAGGTGAACAAAGGTGAGAAGTCAAGGATATTAAAATGTTTCTATTTATTATTTATTGAATGAGTGAAGGAATGAATGAGTAGAGAAAATAAGTGGTCATGTATACGTCCAAAACTGTGAATACCAAGACGGGAGTTTGACCTCTTCCTGTTGAGTGAGCAGAATTATCTGCAGCTCTGTAGGCTCCCTGTCTGAATTCCGGCTCTTCTGTCTGCAGTAGTTAGGCAATGGTACCGTGACAGGCTTGAGCAGCACTGGCTTGACATAATATTTTTATACTCCATGCTTGAGAAGAAGAAAATATTGTTGAAAGTTGTCAATGTTTAATGATTTCTCAGTATTTTTAAGGATTACAAGATATTTTGATCTGGATTTGATCAGGTTTTATGATAAAAACTGTCTGGTTCACAAGAGATGATTTAACTCTTAGAGATATGTTTTTTGTTTTCATTTCTAATACACACTTGATCTTCTAGCTGCTTGCAGCTGGCCATCCTCACGTCCTTCCAGACTTCTTATGGGGTGCTGCCGCTAGGGAAGCCAGCGTGTGCTTTAGGCTTGCCACATGGTTCTCCTTGTTTCTTAGCAGACAGGAAATGGCATCAGTGTTCTTCTGAACTCCATATACCCTCGGGGCCAATGTGTCATCTGGTACTCTCGAGAAATAAGTGAAGGGAATCATCCTAGGTCCCTGAGTTTCTTGCACCCAGCCCCTTGGTGAATGTGGTGAGACAGCTTTGCAGCAGCTCCTCAGTGCGTGGGAGAGCTCTAGGCTAGCCGTCTTGAAGCACCAGTTCTTATTTTTAATCTCTGCGAACTGATATTTTTATGAAACCTAGTAAAAATGAGCTATTATAAAAATGAAATTAAAAAGGCAAATGGACGTCCAAAATTTTTATTAGGTTTAGCCAGCATAAAATTATTTTGTCAAATTGCCTTAAACCTTTTCAAATTCTTACTCTTAATTTCTCTGATTATCACAGTGTGGGGCCAGTCCCAAATAATTCATCGACTGGCACTGGCCTTTGAACCGCATCTGTGCAGTACTGCTCTAGACCTGCCCGCTTTCTGCCCGCCCTCTCCTTGTGTTTCCCCATAGAACAACTTATCCTTCAGTTTGGGATCTGGGTGAAGCCAACTGCCACTTGAAAGAGCTATATTTTGAGTCACATTTGAGCACTGGCTCAAGTTAAGCCATAGGGAGGTGCAATTTAATGAGTTAACGTTAACTTAACTGTCTGTGAAAGAGCCAGGTAACCAGTCTTTGAATTACTTACCCGGGAAACAGGCCTGGAGCTACATGAATTTGAGCGACTTTGTAGAATTTTTCAAGTCAGTTCCTTAAATTCTTGAAAC